ACCCATATCGACTTCTCTTAAAATCGCACAATGATAGCCATCAGTTCTTTGATAAGTACATTTACGGTTTCTGAAGAAGTGGTCAGCAAATGTAACATCGTGTAGAATTGGTTAGCGAACGTATATTACTTTCGAAAACTAACAAAAACATTGATGAGGAAGGCTAACAAATGAGTTCCTTTTACAGCAGAATATCGCGCAATGAGCTCTGATCAAAATTATAACGGAAGTACAACAATTTCTAAAAAATTGGACAGAAAATGAGCAAAACATGCCGAATTCTGTTTGTACAGCAACGGTATTACAGGTTTTTTGTTGTTGCTGATGATGCTGTTGTTGATGATAATGATAATAATCCTGATGAAAGTATTGCTGTTTTGTTTCCGCAGCGTTTAAATCGTGATCCGTTGCTGTAGCAGCATCCAGAACGGAACATGAAGAGAGATCCTCATCACACACTGTACACGAATCTCTCATAAATACCCGCATTGCCTCAACGCCTCGATTTACCATTTGTATTGGTGAAGTGCATACGCATATTGTGCTAAAAAAAAACCTACTTTGATGTAATGTTAGATCTGATTTGTTGGATTACAGAAGCTTTATTACAATCACCAAGGCAATCAGTGTGGATATCACATGTTAGCTATTTTATCCCATATGCCAAGCGCAGCTATGCCAGGCCTTTCGACTCTGAATTGCAGAACTTCAGCTGGTGCCCACAGTTTGTTCGATGAATGTGCATTAACTCGCCGGGGAAAAATTTGAAAATATGGAAAAAATCATCATCTTTTTGAAAATTTTTGAAGGATTTTGACAAAAAGAAGCGTTGACGTACCTGCAATTGACATGTTCAGTTTGTATAGGCCGTGAATGCGATGTTACTGAAGAAGTCATTGATGATGAGTCCTTGAATGCTGGTGTTTGTTTGCTTCCAGTACCTGTTTCAACAAGCACTGTGCGCTCTGTTCCACATGAAAAATCACAAAGCACCACTGGTTGATCCAAGCCACAACCACATTCTAGAATTTTGATTGTCACTTCTTTCATCAGAAACTGGATAGCTTTGCGCCAGCAATGAATTATGGATTAGTACACAAACATGATACATAAAAATATAATTGCATGTAATTTCTCCTTTTTTAATTTTTTTATTTGTAGTTTTTCAGGCGTGCCATTCGATGGAAGTGAAACGTGGAATACCACTCTTGCCAAGGAGAAAAAGTTAGCGATGGCCCAGCGCATCGTATGCCAGTAGGCTGCTTTTTTCGGTCTAGTGCGAGCGATATTATCAAAGCAATGTACGTCAAGAAGAGTAGATGGGTTAGTTAAAAAGCAAAGATAAAGCTATTTGTATTTGAAATGAGATCTTTGATCCTGTACATGGTTAAAAACAAATCTTCTAACATCATATTTTTTTACAGTTTTGAAGCAGATTGGCCGAATAGATGCATAAACAAACGCGCACATATAGCTCAAATATATAATCACATATAATCACAAAAGCAAACGCGTGTATAATCATATACGCATATATAATCATATATAATCACAGAAACAAACGCGCACTTAAATCATTTAAAGTGCAACGGTTCCACTAACGAAGTATACGACTTCATGGACCGAAAGTGATGCACACAACAAATGAAAAATTCTCTAGTTTGAGGACCATGTTATCATATGAAACGCAGCTGGTCAAAATTTCAGAATAACTACTTATTTAACTGATGCCCAAAAAACTTTCACAGAAAAAAAGGTTCGATGAGTAAATCAATCAAAGTCAAAAATCAAACTTCCCTTCGTATTTGCTTTCTATATCAGCAAAATCACTGGGGAATATTTCAAAGGTAGCAAGTGCCAGTAGCAATCAGATTTTTGATGGCCAGTATTCCATCGTGATTAGTATTTTTTTTAATAAAAGATTTCAAGCGTACCATTCGTTGTTGTTGGTTCCGTACTACAGGCTGCATCCTTGAAAACCTTAAGCTCACGAACTGGACTGTCAGTGGATGCATCGCAACATCGAGATTTAAGCGGTATTTCGCGATCGGTTCCAATCCCGATCGAATAAGATCGAGGTTGTGGAATGGGCGAACTACCGATATCCTCGTGCCACCGCATTTCCGTTCTGTCCAACAATGATACACTGGTCCTCTGCAATTATCTATCACAATTAGCGATTAAGTACTTACACATGGATTTCACTGGTACCCTAATTCACGTCCACTCCCCTCCCTTCCCTGCCGTTCCCGTTGTTTTGCTGAAGGTCGTGGATCCAAGCAACCCCTCCACGATTCTTTTATTTCTCTTTGGTGGTGAATTGGTAATTGACGTACGCCAAGAGGTTAAACCCTTTACCAACTTGCCTCTCCTCCCTCCCCCCTCCCCTTTATCAATTTTCGAAAGAAAGAAACATAGACAGCCTCTTGCCAATATACGTTTTGGTATTTTCATACATCAAAAACGCACGAAAATTAAGTCAAACGAAAGGAAAAAGCTTTATCACTAAACTAAACGATGAGAAAAAAAAAAACCTTATCATTGGTCTCAACATGTAACGCATCGCTGGCTGAATCCTTAGTTTCCACTCTTATCGTTTCAGCAGCAACATTACTCACACTCGGACATGAGACTCCGATACTTTTATCAAAAACCGCAGATTTCCGCGACTTTTCCTTAGCCAGTGCACCAAAACCGTTCATTTCGTTGGTTGCCAGTTGAAGCCTGAATGCGGATATATCACCAAGAACGCCAGGACTGCCTGGATAATCCATTTTAATGAATATTCCATTTTAATGATGCTGCTGGAGTTCTATAACACGTCGACAGCATTTAATCCTGTGGTGAAGAATAAATAGTTAGTACTAATCCTGAGCTAAATGGTATAGTTAGCCTTCCTACTTCTTTAGAAGCCCATTGATCGTTTACTTTCTTGGGGGTACCATTCGCTGATACGCGAGGACATTAATGACCAATAGGTCTAACCCGATGTACAGATTTCGATAAGCATAATGAAGCTAAGCGATGAGCGTAGCTATGATTAATCTCTTTTTCGTAAACTAGCTGCTTCGATTCTACCTTTATCAGCTCAGAGCATAGTCTTGTGCCCACTAATATAGTTGCAAAATTCTCCAGCTTTTTTGACAAATGTTGCTTTATCTGATGGTCAGCCTGCTGGTGGTCCTAATATCTGTATTATCTCCTGAAAAGACCGGCAGCTCATTGGTTTTTCTTTTCAAAAGCAATTGGCAAGGCTTCAGTCTTTCCGTGACGTCCTTAATTTGCATGGTTCATTAACATTTCGTTTCGAAAAATGCCACTTTCAGCCAGGATCTTGTCTACTAAAAGTTGGCTTATACTGATCTTAAAATATCGTGAAATCAGGTGATATTCCTTTGAAACTAGTGCTCAATTTTCTTCCAGAAAATTCCAAGAAAACTACTTTTTTCTGTGAACAAAAATGCACAAAGTTTTTAAAAACTAATAAATCATGAACGTGTCAAGCTGGAAGAAAAGCAAAGCAAAATAACGATGTGATGTTAAGAATTAATAAAAAACAGGCTCGCACAAATATTTTTCCAGTATCTTTTTTAATGCCTATTAGTTGAAAAGCATAAAAAACAAGAGCAATTTTCCGAAACGGAGGGAAATAAGAGAATGGACAGAGATGTACCTTCTCGACAAATCGCACAGCTGTTGTTGAAGATCGCTACACTGCAGGCACTGAAGTCCACTTCCATCGGTGCTATTGTCGCCACTGGAATACGCCACCATATGTGCCAGTCGGACATCACCATTAGCTAGCGCCAGCTCAAACGGGCCTTTTTTCGACCCTCTAGAATTTACGATGTTTTAGTATTATTCGAAGTGTATTTCTGCCAAATTCTTCAAAACTGACAAATAAAATCATGTCGCCTTTACTGAATAAAATCCATATTTGGAATATTTGAAATACCAGTTCGTAACATAGTCCAGTAATATCACTAACATGGGATACCCACACTGATTGCCCACCGAACTAATATTTCTTTTAGATGAGGTGTAGTTATGCTGGCCCCTTCGTCCTAAGCCGTATGTTTTCAAATCTTAATAATTAAATTAGCTGGAAATTATGCAAAAAAAAATGAAATACTAGATAAATCCACATGCAAAGAACTGACTTGTCTATCGAGTTACTACTACGATCCCTCGCAGATAACTTCATTTCGTCCGTGTTCTCCAGGCTTGACTGATAATCATTTGCATAGGGACGTGCTGTCAAATGTGGAGGAGAACTCAATTCACGTCTCAGGCGTCCCTAAATGAATGAACAGCAAAATTTTTTAGTAGACACACATTTGATTTTTAAAAAATTTCATAACTGGTGAACTATAATCATAATACCATCAGAATCTCCCGTAACAATAGACTGTAATCATAATACCACTGAGAATCCACAGCAGTTATCTCCGGGTAATCCCGATGTAGACTTCGATATCTTTCATTTTTAGCAGTGCTAGCTGATAATCTTCACTTCTGCCCGCTCGCTCTGATCTGTCTGTGTTTACAGCTAGGAGGTGAAGCACAGACTGCTTCTTAATATATCCATCAGC